TCGAATTCGCCTATAAACTGTATACATGTCAGCAAAAATAATTACGAAAGGCATCTAGAATTGTTAGCCGTGATGATCAGCGGTGTTTCTGCTTACCGCTGTTCACTATCTCTTCTGTATAATTTCAGCATCGGTTTCTCCATCGTAGTTCGTGAGTAAAACATACGAAAGATACGACGGAATCTAGTTGAAAAATGAAATCATGTATAATTATATAAATACATCAATAATCATAGATCAGTATATGAATAAATTAGAATAAACGTATCAGATTTCAGCAATTGTTTTGCAGAATTCTGGATAATTTATTATGTTCTTCAGCGTTTCTACTATACAAATTTTTCCACGTTTCAGATCATGTTGGATCTGTCTTCGTGAAAGACATTATAAAACATGTTGTTGCAGTGTCCATCTGTACGGTCAAGTACACAGTTTCATTATGGACGCTTTAGCCTCGTTGCCTCATAACTTCGCTCCATTGAGAATTTAGTTCATACTGGCATATTTATTCATTGGTCGATTTGGTTAAATTTACAACGCTTGCATTATCTTTCGGCTAAGAACATTTTTCTCTGTGTGTTCCTTGTATTTGGTCACATAACGTGCAGTGTCTTTCTTGTATTGTATGTTGCACAGCCGTTGATTTCTTAGTCGTACTCCTTCACCGCCTGCGGATCTTTCGTCTGTATTGCCACTTCTGTTTCCGTGCTTGTCCATTCTGTCGTAAATCGGCGTTGCACCATCTTAGGTTGCTGATATGTTCGTTTTTTCTCTGTTCTCTATTTTCGCCAGTTTCTCCTGTGAAACAAATCGTATTCAGGTGGGGTGTAGTGTGGATGTTTGAATTGCAGCTAGGTGGTTTTAACATTCGTCACTTGTCTCCTTAGTGTTGTTTGGGATTTTCGGCAGCTTCTCGCTTGGATGTTGCACGCATTGTGAACAGTTGAATTCTAATGTCAAATTTCTGAATTTCTCTCATTCCTGCTCTTCATTTGTTGGTTGCTGAATTTCCTTGTATTCGTCTTCTAGGTAAACCGTTATTTCTAAGAGCTCTCCGGATGTAAAGCCTGCTCATTTTGCGTATCCCTGCCATGTCATAATTTACTTCGAAGCATCTACTAGTTAGGGTGCTGGCTATACCCTTCCCTTCTTTAAGCATTGCGTGGTTCGAATCGAACTGCAGCAGTCTTGGCTTATGAAACACATAGGTAACATACGGTTGAGCTCCAGTTCCAACGTGAATATGATTTCGTCCGGGTACAGGTTGTTGTTATGAGTCAGTAACAGCTTCTGCGTATCTTTTTCTTTCACGTATGGCAAGTATGTCATTAACGTACCTTTTGAACAGTATGGCTTGAATTCTACTAGAATTGGAAATTACGAAAAACCCTGAGTGAATGAATAACTAGTCTGTTAGTATAGTTCGCCGTTGAATTCGAAATAACCATAGTCCACTAGACATTTCTTCGTATCTTTTACAACGGATTTAACGGTTAGCACTGTTTTTTGCTAATTCTGTATTGCTCTCGAGCTTCCTTCACACCACACTAAAGCATTCTTCAAGTGGGAGCTAATAATCAAGCTCTCGACGTTGTTCAAAAAACGCGAATGGATGATATAATGAAGAAAATGAGTAAAAGAGATAAATGCACATATGGAGCATGAAAGAATGGAATAAATAAATTCTGTACAAAATGAAGAAAAGTACAATTCTGCATGCCACTAAGATGATTAAGAAAATAGATCGAAATCTGGCGTAGTAACGACATTGTTCGTGCTCATACGTTGGTGTCATTATTCCTCTGATTAGGGGCTTATTTTCACATTAGAAAGTCATCAACAGGCTCTTTTGATATAACAGATTAAGGGAATGGTTGGAAAATGTATTTAATAACTGAGACTTTCAGAACCCATGACTGTGTTCGTTCTTCAGCACAAATTCTTGGATGATGACGGTCTCCTATCACGTTTCCGGATTCGCACCCATTCCCTTGCTTCTAATAACCTAGGGGTCATTTAAACAGGGCACATTAAGTGCATAGGCGCAAAACAGCACATCACTGTTTCATTGAGTCTAATAAAGAAAGAAGGGATAGGAAATTACCATTCTTGCCGGCGATACTGATAATTAGCTGTTTGCTTGCAGATCGGAAATACTGTGGCTAATTTTTGCTGAGGATATTGGGTGGTATTTTGTTTACAAGGTACATGCCCATTAAACCGGAAGAAGCGTTAAATTTGATATGCAGAGTTAAGTGCGAACACTGAGATAAGTCATACTCTGGGAAGATCAGCCGAAAGTAGATCACTCGGATCAAAGAGCACCGCTTTGAACAAGCAGACAATTCCGGTATGCGATCGCCGACGGGCACTCCTTCAGTCAGATCAGCGTGTCTGTCACAGTCATAGACCATTCGAAAATAAGTCTGCTGGTAAAGGAGTCTTTGCGAATACTGGCAGTGAAAAAATCGGATGTGCAACGAATACGCATGTTCTGTGGCTATCAGTTAAAGTTGAGGCACAATCACGAATTTGATACGCAAAATCGGGTCAGCATAACAAAGAACCGATTGCATTGTTAATGTGAACATTGTACGTTGTTTTCTGGTTAACATTCTTTTCGGTCATCTTAGCAACGTTTCGATTGTATGGGATGAGCCAATTAGGCAACTGGTATTTTTCTCTTGTTAGACATAAATGTCTTCAAGCAGTCATTCGTATTCGAATTCATATTCGTACTCAGCCCAGACCTGATGATGCTGCGGTCTGTGTGGCAAAGCGCGCTGATAGTAAAAGATTTTACCATCTGTTGCGTTTGATGCCCTGAACCACGAAGCGTACAACACAACCTATCTATGTAGCTACGGGCGCAAAACCAAGAGCCTGAAGTCTTACTTACAGGTTACATGTAATTACTGTATTTTAAGTATATACGTTATGATGTATTTCCGCGTTTTAAGGTCGGAAGGCAGCTATCAGGAATTCTGTCTCATACGCCGTCACTTAAGCGTTAAGATTTTTTATCGCATTATTAGACTAGTGGAAAATCTGAACGTTACGACTGTTTGTCTTATGTAATTTCATAAATGATTTATATTCAACTGATGCCGAATAATAGTTTTGTTTTTGGCTCTTTTTCTGTCTCATTTTTTCATCTTACTGCAATGTCGAGAATGCCACCAACTTCGCTCTTATATGGTATGCATTTTCTTTCGATGTTTTGCTTTTTTCCTCGTTTCTCGTGCCTAAGGTCATCCGTCTCTGCATCAGCACCAGCC